CCTTCTTTCCGAAAAATAAAAGTCCGATATCAAGAAACACACATGCGATATATATACAGCCGAACGAACGAATTCGGGATATAACGAACGAGCGAAAGTTTTCCAAATTTATATACTGGGTATAACGATTGGCGCAAAAAAATAATGGGACAGCATTATTAGAAATATACAGTGAGCAGCAAAAGTCATGGTATCCCATACAAATCAAAAATATTCGGTAATTCCCCAAAAGAAATTCACAAATTTTCAAATATATATTTTTATTTCATGTATTCAATCCTATACTACAACAAATTAATGTAATATTTCATTTTTTTATTAAAACAAAATATAAAACAAAATCGACATAATGCCAAGTCCATAGTTTTTCCACAGCAAAAAGTCCAGCCTTGGTACCTCTGGAGAAAATAATGAATTATTTAATATTACTTAATTTTTAGAATTAAATTGACTTACCTAATACTTGGTAGGATATCCCTTGAGTTTAAAAACATCATTCAATCGTTTGGGCATTGAGTATACAAGTTTTTGAGTGTAGTCCAACGATATTTTATCCCATTCCGTCAGAAGTATTTCCTTGAGTTGCGCCATACTGGAGATTGTATGATTTCGGATTCGTTTATCTAGATGATCCCATAGGTGTTCAATCGGATTTAAATCGGGCTGTGTGGAGGTGTTATCAGCATGTGTGGTGTATTGTATACGTTCGAGAAAGTAACTTTTCCCAGAACTCATTTGTCTTGTTTTTATAATCATTTGCAAAATCGACACGCTTCTTTCTGTTTGCTTTGTTAACAAGTGTTTTTTTGTCTGTACCGTGTCTGCTGAAACTGCTTTCCCAAATGATTCTTTTAAGTCTGCACGATTTTAGGAGCGCTAGTAAATGTACCTTTTTTTAAAAAAATATATATTCAATTTTTCGTTCTTCTCTGATGTTGAGCTTCCTGGTACGGTCTGATCGCGGCTTATTTTCAATTATATATTTTTTTTTTGTACCGATTAACCACTTTTTGGACTGCTGATTTCGTTCTGTTTATCACTTTACCTATTTCGGAATAGGATTTCCCCATTTGGAGTTGACACGATCTCGATTTTTTCTATGGTTTGTTGGAACAAATAAATGAAATATTACTTTCCGTTATTGTAGTATAGGAGTGAATACATAAAAAAATAATTGTATTAAATTTTGTAAATTATTTTTTGAGTAATTACTGAATATTTTTTTATTTGTATGGGGTACCATGACTTTTGCTGCTCACTGTATATGAACTCGTTATTATTACTGTTATTACGTTAATTAATTAATTGTTTATTAGAAAGCCAATGAAAAGTGGATTAACATTTTTGTTTTTAAATAAAATGGCACCATAAAAAACTTCACGATATAACGAATGTGCCTGACAATATATCATTCGTTATACCGGGCGTCGACAATATATATATATAAGACCTAAATATGTGTACAGTACAAATTATTTAAATCTATTCGCATTCGAATTGAATGAATTTTACCTCCATCTCTTTTGATTCTAGTTAAAAAATACCCTGGATAGTAACATATAACGTTAACAGTAATGTAAGCACAGTTTGCATCAATGCGTCCATGTATAAGATAGTAAAAGCTCCATCCCCTCTCGGCTTACTACACGATTTCATGCGAAAAAGTGCTAGATATTTTTGCATTTGTTTTTGTGAGCATTCGGCTTAGTTTACTACAAAAGCTTCTCCAGATAATTTTGAGCTTTCTTGTTAGAAGTGTTTCTCAGTAGATGAGGGTTTCAAATATATAAGGCTGACGTCAGAGTGCAAGCGAGAAGCGATGCGATACTACATGATATAATAGTTCATGTTACTCCAATGCTATAGTATGTTAGAGTGGATGCTATAGAGAGCAAAGTATGTTGTTGTTTGTTTACATCGTCTATTTCAGTTATAAACTGGTGTTTATTGACTCAAGAAGGATTCAGAGGAGGAATTTTTCATATCGCAAAATATTTTGAACATAGTTTTTAACGAACACGAAATTAACAAATGTTTCTGCATCGATTTCCCTTATTTTTTCCCAATTATTTTATTATTATTTAATTAAATTTGGACTTGAGTCCACAAAAATCCCGACAGATTGATCCGTGCCATTAAAATGCGATAAGATTCAAAAGAACGATGCTAAAACCCGATCAATAACGGTAAATTAAAATAATAAACAGAGACAAAGCGAGTTCATGCACAACACGCTTTATCTCTTGCACTCGCTTCGTCTCGCTTATAACATAGCATCCACTCTGACAGCTTTTGCGCTATACCATAAGTAAACACATGCATAGGTTTATAGTGTCGTCTAGCGGTATATCATATCATTCTCACGTCAGCCAAACGTGTTAAAACTAATTAATTCAGTGTCTTAAACAGGGAGCGAAGAATGATAAAAATACGCTCATTCTCACGAATATTCACGGCGAGAATTCGAATATTTTCAATTTATCGCGAATGATAAAGTTACAAGGAATGAACAAGCATTAGCAATCTCTCTGAATGTTCGCATTGTACGAACAATTCACGAATGATAAAATTTCACTGCAAGCGTCGTTGATTCGTTTGTTCGAAAGCATTTGTTGCTGAAGAACATTCTTTTGAAAAAACTCCAAAAACAAATGATCGCGAATGCTCGCAAGCCATGTTAAAAACAACAACAAACAAAAATATCATGAAAAAGTAAACACACACAACGAATGAATGTGTGTGTAGCAGAAAGTGTGTAGAATAAGAAAACACATGTCCAACAACTATTGAGTTCACGAACGTTTGTGGTTATTCTTGTTTCTGGTTTGAGCATTCGCGAGAATTCGGGAATGTTTCTTTTCATTCGTGAAAGAATTTCAACCTCTCTAAGTCAACATCCCAGAAACACCTTTGAAATTTAAATTTATATATTTATAAGATAAGATAAGCTCCATTTGCTATTTTAATGCGAATGATTCTGAACTTTTATCGTTAGATTTAAGTTCAACTTTTAAAAAGTGCACGTTCAGCTTTTAACATTTTGTTTACAGAACTCTGTTAACATACATTTGTTGGTGGTGCCTGATGGTTTTTATACACTCCGGTTTGTGTCTGTGTACTTTGGTGTGAGCCATAGATTAGCAAGACCGCCATCTATTTGTGGTTGCTCCATACATTAAATATATCGCTGGCTTAACATTTAAGGCAATACGACCACCATGCACATAGGATACCAACTATGGGATTAAGTAAAATGATATGGCACCGTAAGTGAATTTATGGTTGTCATTTGCCTGATATTGTTCTTAATTATTAATAGTATACCTTCGATATACACACATGGCCAACATAATATGTACATCTCAGTTAAGAAATTCAATATCAAGGGGAAATTTATTATATTATTTACCAGAATTGCAGTGAAACTTGGGGGGTGGTGGCGGAGGTGACAACTAAAGATCGTGAAGTTGATTTTCTTCATCCCATATTTCACATGACAGAACCAGAGACCCATTTCGAATACAAAAGCGTAGCGAACGATACAAGAAGAAGAAAATATACTTATTATGTGGATTTTTCAACACAACAGCGGTTCCAAACACTTATCAACATATGTCAAGGATTGTTTCCAGGACAATATAATGAAAATGCTTGATTCTGCTAGGAAGTTATTGCACTTGAATCCAATAGGAAACCACTATGAACTGCACATTACTGCAGAATCAATCATGCTAAAAATAAGGGTCACTTTTGGCAGTCTATACAAAAAAAAAATATGGTATGAAAATACTTTTGAAAAATTTTAGGAAAATTGTAAGTAATCAGCGAAAAAATCATCCAAAATAGAGGTGGATGCAAAGAATACTAATAACACATAAACATCATAAAATACAATCTTTGCTAAAACAATCGAATGTACTTGTATAAATTAACGATTTTCTAAATGTACTTATTATTTTGTCCATTCATTTTTATGACGTTTTTCTTTCTATTGCGTATAGAAATTTATTCACCTCAAAGATCCACACAAAAAGTAGTTTTTAAGTACAATTTAAAAACGAAATTTCAATTTCAACTGAATTCCAATTTACAATGCAAACATTTCTTGAATGGAACGAAAACTATGCATACTGAAGCGTGTAGGTATTATTTTGGTCATGTGTATGTGTGTGTGTGTAATAAAAAACAATCCTTTATATCAAATAATTGAAATTCCCTTCAATACCAAAGTGCCTCATTTGCCAATTTTCCGAACATCGTAATACATTTGGGTACTTATACAATTTCCTTGAATTTTATAAGTATTCAAATTTCTTTTGATTATTTGGAATTTTCTTATTGTTGTACGTACCATGGTTGTATGTCAATCATAGTCAATAAATCCAAGTTAACCCTAAAGTGTGGAAACCTTTATCCAATGTATAGAGATGAATATGTACACATTTATTTGTTATTAATGAATATATTTAAATAATACTGACAACATACATCAATGTTAGACTTAATAATAAATTAATAATAACTACAATAGTAATTTTATATTTTAAAACACGTAATACTGACAATGTACATTGACTATAGGAAATTCCCAGAATTAATAACATTTTAAAATTTGTTCTTTGTAAATGCCTCAGGTCTTAATTTACCATACATTTGTAGATTTATAATATTTAATGATATGAAACAATTTCTAGAGAGAGTTGGAGATATAAAATGAACTGTAAGCACTCGGTTCACTTAACATCAGTCGACTTGAAATCTTCGTTCAAAGGATTCATTACTTAATTTCTATCTAGGTATATGGAAGATATCACCTTCGATCAGCTACGTTCCAGACGTATACAGTACTTAGTACAGTTTTGTGGGTTTGTTGTTATATTTTTTACATTTAATATAATTACTGAAGAGTATTCCAAGTATGTTTGACAAAATTTAATATAGTTGTACTAACATTTTAGCTATTCCTGTTTATTTTCACACACCCTGGGTAATTTCGCCTCTTAGACTATTGTCTGGTGATGATGGGTTCTTAAAATCACTGTTTCCTCAATAATTGAGGAATTACTAGACTTATTGGTTACATTAGAGTCCATCGGTTTGGGATGTTTATCAGCCACCAACACCGCCTGTTCCTCATTACTATCACATTCCAACAATTCGGGATGTAGGGGTTTGAAATTGTTTCGTTGCCATTGGCAACCCGAACTGGGAGGACCGGAGACGATTTCTTTGGGTTTCAGATCACTACCATTAACGTTTAGACCATTTATCATGATCTCTTCACCATTGCTATTTACATTGTAGGTTATAAAATTGCACATTTGTGGGCTTTCATATTTTTTGCTGCTTCGTTCACTCGACGTCTGCCGATTATAGATACTGCTGGCGCGGGTCTGATTTCGTAGACGTGATGTACCATATGTTGAGCGCAGCGAACTGGCCCGTGTATGCATTGACATTGTGCGCTCATGTACCTCGCCATTTGTATTGAAATGACAGAAGAACGTGTGAAACCGTTTATTAAATTCTCTTTTAAATTTTTCCTAAAAGAAAGAACAAAAGTAACGATAGAAATGAATACAGGAAAATGAAATATCGATTCGGACGCCATAGTTACATCATTCACCATGAGGCGACCAATGGAAATACTATACTCTTAGTGTAGAAAATTAGGCTAGGATCTACTAACGCACAAAACGCCCTTTATATGATCATTTTTTACGCCTATTCGTACAATGAAGCGAATTCGTATTTTGTCCATCAAAAACCAAGAATGTCAAATTGCAGTCACATCCGTCATAAAATCCGTTAAATAACATAAAATTGGACATGATCTGTGGGGGCTATGCCATACCATGGGCCTTATAAATTAAAAAATCATAAAATTAAATTTCTAACCGTGAATGGTAAATTCAGTGTATCAATCTCACCGTGAACCGAGATCTCCCAAATATCTATCTAATCCACCCGTTGAGTACATTTTAAAATGTTCATATCCCACTTTTAAATCCTTACGGTCATTGTGGTTACTCTATCGTTTATTTTCTCAATAAATGTATCGATCGATTGATGTGTGGGAAGCGGCGATGTCTTTTTGCGACCAAATATCGCCGATATCGCACACAATCCAGTCATCCTGTCATCTGCCCAGACGAAGTTACGCAAATATAAAAGTGGAGCTATTGTCATTTACTTTGATAAAACATAACATAAACCCTAGACTTCGTTCAGCCTCGATGTTCATATAGTTTTAATCAAGTTGTGTTGAATTATCGCCTCTGGCAGATTAAAATCTGTCAGATGACAAATAAAAAGGTGGAAAATAAATATAAAACGCCTCTTCGTAATATCATGGTTACCATGTCTACCTTCTCCCACTTTAATGCCATCTTGCTACATACTTACGTTGTATATACCATAGATGAAAGGATTATAACAGCTGTTACTCATGGCCAGCCAGTCGCAGCAGAACCAAACAATACCGATGAACTGGTATTCATTTATCTCTGGAATTGTAACGTAAAGGATGTTGTACAACTGCAGTGGCAACCAACAGACTCCGAATACAATCACAACAATAATCAGCATTTTTATAACCTGTAATAAAATAAGACAAACACCGACGCAATCAAATGAAAAATATGCCACAAGAGGGTTATGCTGTGTCACGAAAGCGGGAGGCGTTTGTATATCACACTGGACATTTAGTGTTATTTACACAGAACTTGCATCCATGTGAGTCGTGTACCTTTTTCTTGTTCCTCAACAATGTGATATCCCTTGAATCCTGCGCATTACCCGGTGCTCGAGTACCCCACAGACGTATGGCCATTTGTATGTAAACGAAGCTGATGACGCAAAACGGCACCAAATATTGAACGAATACTAGCGAATAACGGTATGTCTGTAGCTGACTTTCGGACAGATTTACGTTATTGCAAAATGGTGTTGTCACATTGTATATTGTGTTGTTGATAGTGTCTGGAAAATAGAGATGGAAGAGAAATTTCAGTGTAAGTGGCAATAGAACCAGCGGTAAGAAAATGGGACAAATTGTTCCGGCTATCATAGCTATGCAAATAAGCGATTGTCTGGGATTATTTTTAGAAAAATCCTTACGTACCTTTTCGCCGCTCATGCAATAATTCCACTCGAAAGGCAATGGCACAGGGTGTAGCAAAGGTCAATGACGCCAGCCAAATAGTGGCAATAATGAATTTCGATGCAAATTTCGTAGGACGAGCCCTGTGGATGGAAATTCGTAACAAATTTAGAAAAATGGAACTTACAAATAAATTTACATATTTTAAACTCAAAAATTTAATGGTGAAGGTATATATATATATTTGGTGAGGACGTTATTATAGCTTGTATTAAATATTCAGGTAGCAACTATCAAGAGGTCTGACCAAGGATGATATAAATATACCCACAGATTTTCATGTTTTAGTAATTCACAGCAAATTTCTCATTCACAGTAGGACTGACTTATTATTTCAATTTCGTAACCACCGTTTTCTTCATAATGATTGAGAAGACGAAGCGATGATGTTCGGCTGCTCAAGGACTATGGAATCAACCTTGGCAAGAGAATTTCCACGAATAGATGTATAAGTGGGATAACACTTCACATTAATTTTTGTATTTACAAAAAGTTCGTAAATTGCCAGGTATTCTTTTTATATTCAATGGAAATGTTTTCAATTGTGTACCAACAGTCTTTGGCCTTTAATACAAAAACAACAATTTAACCTGATTGTTGTTCTGCAAGAACGTATCCTTATATACCAATTAACGCAACACACTTTGCACGGAATAATAATTTTCTGTTTTATTTTACAATTGTAGATGCAGTTGAGGTTTATGGAAATAATGCAACAATGTGTTATTACAACTTTTCTGTGGAACAGCTTACCTCAGCGGATTTAGTATGGCTCGATGACGATCTATGGCAATTGCCGTTAATGTAAATACAGACACATTAACACTGACCGCCTGGACAAAAGGACAAAATCCGCACATAAACCATGGCAAAGTCCATCGCTGTAACAAAGCTGCTTGAAACTGCAAAATAATAAAATAGAACATGGATAAGCACATTAAGTCAAGTATTCCACTTCAAAAGAAACAGAGATGGCACAAATTGGATACGTAATAACCATAATTTTAACTAATCTCTCGACTTTTACAAGCTGACGTACAATTATTTTAACGATTTTGTTTTTGATTTTTTCTTCTGTTTTTTTTTATTTATTTATTAGAGTCCAGCTTACCTGAAATGGTATGCAAAATAATCCAATTATTACATCCGCAAATGCCAGGTTCGCTATGTACATATTTGTTACGGTTCGCATTTGCCGAGTGGTGGCCACCACCCAGATCACCAATGAATTACCGACTATTGCAACTAAACTAATAGTTCCATAGAATATAGACAGGAGTACAACAATCTCCGCGGGGGCAACATATAGGACTTCTATTTGGATGAAAAGAAATACACAAATACATACAAACATTTGTTTATATAAAAATGTTAATTTTATTCATCATCTATCGTAGAGATGTAACAGTGTTGGGTAGGGTAGGACATTCTTCCATTGAATGGTATCGTCGGATTCATTTATGTAAACAATTACTATAGCCGACCTCGAAACTTTTTCTTTTGTCAATTATTTACTATTTATATTTTGTGGGACGGTAGTAGTCGCACGACTTAATTACTTGATAACTGTAGGGGAGGAAAATACTGCAACGAAAAATCCAATCTCTAAGAGAAATGGCACAAGCAAAATATACGTGTATGCGGCATTAACTTCCCTCTAAGAACGAAAAAAAGAAGGAAGGACAGAAAGAAGGAAAGCATTGACCACACATCGTTTTACATCTGCTAAGAATTTTCCATCGGATTAAGATCCGGCGACTGCGCAGGCCGTGGCATTACCTCAATCCTTTCGAATAGAAATCAGTCATTTCCGAGTTTGCTAGTGTGGGCATTTCTTAACTGGCATATGGGAACATAATGTTTTTTAAGATATTAACATACACAGTTCTATTATTAATCATATGGATTGGCCCTACGCCATAATATGAAAAACTCAACCTTGAATGCTTTACAGTTTTGCCTATGTACATACATATTTTGTGTTTGGGGGAATTCAAACATATAGGACAATCTTTGTTTCATCTGTCATTAAGATATGAGATTTTGCAAAACTCATTATTATTTTCGATCAATCTCCGCTGTACACGCACATCATTGATTTGTAAATTTAAATTTGTTTTCATCATTTCAGAGGACACTAAATGGTTTATCCTACAGTACCGTACTAGATACCTATCCCAAAAGAGGGTTTATTAATTTTTAAAAACGACTATCAAGGACTATATTAAAATTTTAGAAAGTCTGTCAACAAGTGGCAATTTTTAAATTAATATTTAGAAGTACTTTAAACAAGAGTTAGGTTTTTAATTTTTTTAGAAGTGCTATTAACAAGCGTGGATTTTTTTTAAAATAGAAGGACTATTTACAAGCGTTGGTTATAAAAAAATGCTAGAGTGGAAAATTTTTAAATGAATTTCATAGTTCTCTAAAAAAATAATACCACGGTTCAGTAATCATTATAGATTTCTGATATTATGTTTATCCACTCTAGCATTGATTTGAACATTTCCTTGAAGTTATTCATTCATTTGTATTAGTTTTTTATGCAATCAATTGAGGATTTGAAATTCTCATATATATATATATATATTTTTTACATAAATTTTAATGAACAAATGTACTTCCTTGAAATATCAGCTGCTGTTATTTGTTTAGTATCCAGAACAGCAATTCTAAGAATTTCAATGCATTAAAGTATCATGGACTGTGGAAACTACTACTATGCTAACAAACATAGTAGGTGGGTTATTGGAACTAACAATAAGTGATGGCAGTTAATAATTGAAATGTTGCAATTTTTTTTTTAGAAAAGTAGATCCGATACTTCAATTAAAAATATTTGCAGCTAACAATAAATATGTTAAGAGAGCTAAGTAGTGCCGATCCGTCACATTTATATAAATTGTATTGCCCAATTAATGTTAAATATTTAAAGAAGTTTGACTAGATTCAATCCCTTCCGTTTACTTTAATTTTAGTTCCACTTTTATTAATTGGGCACTAACAAACCCAAGTAGTAAAAATAATAATAACATGTTTAAATTTTATATATATTTATATTATAATATGGTTTCTTTAACATCCCTTCCACTTTTCCCTTTTTGAGAATGAATTTTATATTGCCATTTGTTTTTACTTAATTTGCTTTTATAATTTTACTTGTTTTATTATACTAGAAATTATAATTTTGATCAGTTTATCAATCCACCACCCCAAGATAAAATGATTTCAATATGGGTTGAAGTTTGGGCTCATTTTCCAATCGAATTAGCTAAATGTTAATATTTTGGATTATTGTTGGGTAAAAAATCTCTATACTAAAAGTTATCAAAATTGACAAGTTCATATGATAATATATCCCATTACACGATATTAAGTTTTAAAGGTGTTTTTGCCGATTTTCAGAAAAAAATGTCCAGAGTATCCACACCCGTTCGACTATATAACATTGTAGTTTTCTTCTTTACTTACCATATTCTTCTTCATCCAAAATTTCATTTTCCTTAAGCCTTGTGAAGCCGTATTCATCCATTTTTATTGTGACTATGACAGCAAACACTTTATATCATCTGTGACAGGATATACATCTGGAGCATATGATTTCTTCAGATTGCGTATTGGTGGTTATTTTAAATGCGCGCCTCTTGTTTTTTGTTGTTAGTATTTCTTATTATCCTCAAAAGAGTGACTGTTTCCTTTCTTCTTAACACCAGCACGTGATTATTTCTTCGAAGAGCATAAGGGCATCAGATGAACACTGCTGCGGTGTATGGCATTTTAATAACTTTACTGTAAAGAAGAGAAAAAGAGAAAAATAAAATGTAGCGAACATAATAAAAAACCACACACAATATGTTTTTGACAAAAATTACTCAAGCAATAAAATAACAAAACATAATGTGAAGTTTTATTTTGCGAAGTCTATTTTAATCACACACACACACACACACATACAATTAAAATTATATAAAATGTACTGCCAAAACATTTTAGTTTAACAACTGTGCTGGTCATACAACTAAAAACCTTGACTATTTAATTCGTACAATTCAATAAGCCTGAGTAAGCTCTAAGAATATTAAATAATCCATTAGCACAAGGAATTATACAACACACAAGATGACTTTTTGCGGAATCTTTAAATTTAATTTAGTTAGAGACTGAATATTCCCATAAGGACGGGTGAGGTTGTCGTATACCTCTGCACTAATTGAAATGAATTTTTCATCGAAAAACATATATAACTATGTAAATGTATTTCTACTAAATAAACTATTTTTATACAATTCGTCACACGTTGAAGAGTATATTTAATCTGTCGTTGCATTTGTAACACCTCACTTTGCACTATGAAACATTGCCATACAATGTTCCGTTGTTTTGTGTTACCAGAACAGCAGAGCAATCAACCCTAAGGGTTTGCAATGTTCCGCCGCTTCTTAAGTGTATATTAAATATGCCATAACGTACATATATTCTTGAACACATATATTCCCGTTAGTCTGTCTATTGAATTTACGACAGAATTCGCAATAGTTAAGATGGAGTTTTCAAATGTGATGTATAAAGAATGGGATATATGGGAGCACTTTTTAGGGTACCCCCCAAAAAACGTATATGCTGTAGTGTGTTATTTTACGTTCTCGCTGGGTAGAAAATGGCGATTCTAAAAATTATCAATATAGGCCTAAGTTTCGGGGAAAATCTTTCTACTATCTAAATATGATTAATATTGGTAAATTTTTTGCGTGACCCCTTCATAACAGTACTAACAGTTCGGTCCAACTGAACTTAACGACTTGTTCTAGAACAATAACACTTTTAATTTCGTAAAAAATATACGTCATAATGCCCCTTAATCTTGTTTTTCAACCACACTATATTAAAAAAAAACGCTTTTTTATACCAATGCAGCCTTTGAATTAAAAAAGAAAACAATAATATTCATTTGTTTTCAATGTAAACCAGTATTTTTTTAATTGCTTTAAGCTTTTAATTGGAATTCCATAAATTGCATAATATTTCGTGCATGGGGTATTTCAAAACAATTATCTACAGCAGGTACAGACAGAGCGTAAAAAATTCTGTTCTCACGCACTTGTCTTTGTGTGTGTGTCAATGGTTTTTCAATTGGTTCAGTTGAATGTGTGTGCGAGAATAGTGATACTTACTCTCCCGAGAGTGCACGCGTGCGGTGGTTCGCCCGACTGTGATCTACAGTGTAAAATGCCTATCCGGAGGATGTTTAGCCCACTTGCATTATGCAATTCAGATTGAAAAATTCGTCTACGATATTTTCACATAATTTATTTGTTCTCCGAATCATTTTAATTTTTTTCAAACTAAATACAAAACATTTTGCTTCTTTTTCTGATACTGACAAGTATACAATAAACGTTTGCACTGCATCCGATGAATTCCTGACTTTTATTTTGCATCGTTATTAAAATACGAGTACATATAATTCAGGACCAATGACGATACGGCGAAACTAAAAGATTTATGTTTATGTAAGTTTTCTTTGAATTTACCATTATAATTTTAAAACCTCGTCATATTGCGGCTTCTAGTAGAAGTGGATAAATTAGAAACCATGCAGTAATGTATCACGCCTGAAATGTTCATGTGAAATATGTAGGGAATTTAATGATGGACTTTAAAACATTATTTTCCACGAAGTCCAAGCAAGTAAGGTTTATTCCAATTAGCCAACACATGTATACGTGGGCATGTATACATGTGTGTATTTGTTTGTGCAGATGATATAGCTGAAATTGAAACACACGTAGAAAAACGTCTACGCAAATTCCAATTTTGGGAATTGGCTATTCAAAGTGAATGAATTAGGGTGTCTATATTTTGTTTATACCCTACACAACAATGTTGTCAGGGTATTGCAGCTTTGTGAAGCCCCAAGAGTTTGTAACGCCGCGAAATATTGGTTGTAGACCCACCTTTTGGTATACTTATCATGTACACAGGATACAGGCCACAAGCCCTAGACGGACGTATTTTGACCCAAGAAGACCGCTATTGGTTTTGGTTAATATTCATGGTATTAAATGGACCAAAAACTTTATTTTTGTCTGAACGTTCTAATGGCCACTATTATCGTCGCACAATATTTAGCGGGTCAAAAAGTCCAGATTTTGTGTGAAAAATTATAAAAGTTGTATTGTATGTCCTGAAGGACATAGAAGCTGATCGTATATCCAAGAGGAGTGGTTGATCTTTAAATTTATACCAATTATATTATTTTAAGTATTATTGTAATAATTATTAACCCAATACAGCATTAGATGGCAGAAGTATAGCGCAATCGCTGTAAAATTTTACAAAAAAGTCCAATTTCGGTCAAAGACTAGGAGTCACCGCAACACACCAAATGGGGAAGGGAATCTGGTCAACTAATTTGAAGGACTGTTTTGATAATGGTATTGATTAGTCTCAGAATATAGATACACAGAAAAATGTAGGGTCTGCCCCGTCCAACTCACTGGTTTTTATTCTATTTCTTTTTTTCGTTGAGTGGTAACCATTAATGTTACCGTCGTTTTTTTTTTTTTTTTTTTTTTTGAATTTAATTCTGTAGTCATTTTCTTTGAAATAATGCAGCCATTAGAGAGAAATATTTACATAGCTTTTGTGTGTTTCAACATTTTCCACACTAAAAACAAAAAAACAGCGTTTCCATTTAATTGAAATCATTTTTAAGATGAAAATTTCAATCTCTGGTTCATGGATTTATTTTTTTCGTACGTTTTTAATGGAAACTATGTATACAAATATGTTCCTTTGGTTATAGTATATCCCAAATTGGGAACATATATATTTAAATACTAATTTTAATTTAATAACATTAAATAAAGATTTAAAACTAACTAGTAAAAACAAGGTTAAGTTCAGCAGAGCCGAATTGTTTATACACTCGTAAAATAATAATAATTTGGACAATATTCATAATTTTTGGTAGGAAGATTTTCTACTCAATGAAACTTCAAAATAAAATATAATATCCTATTTGGTTGAAACATGTGAAAAAAGGATAGTTTCGACCCAGTGAGAACCCACAATATTAAATTACTAATTATTAGGCTGAAAAACTTGTCCAAAAGCCTCAAAATACCGAACATTGTGTGGGAGATGTTCCAAAATGTCGACCAATATACGCCATTTGTAATACCAAACATGCTGGGATAATAGTAATCTGTGTTTAAAATTTCAAAGCTCTATACACCTAAGTCTGTTTTTACACGCTAGATTGGTTCCATAAGAAGCCGTGTAAAAAGGCAATTCCCCTAAATTAGTGCTATTCACATTTGCTTTGAGCAGTAAAAATTGTTTGTACGCGCTAATGGTGAATTCACTTAAATCTTTAAGCTAGTGTTCGCAAACTATCGATACTATCGATGGTTTCAGACTTTTTTCTTTCATAAATACTTTTTTGTGATATGAACATACTTCGCAAAAATTAAATTTGACAAAAAAAATTTAAGTCAGTGTTGGGCAAAATAAAATTGAGACCAAGTATGTGCGAGCGTAACTGAGAATTCGCCATTAAAAACGACTGACGTAAGGAGAAAAAACGAAAAAAGACCCTCTGTTACGGTAGCGTATATGGGTAAGCATGCCTGATTTAAGTACATAAAATTTCAAATCGTGCTAAATGAAATAAAATCGTGTAAAAAAATTAAAAATATTCAATTTTCAAAACCGTGTACAAAAAGACCATGTAAAAACAGACTTAGGTGTATCCAATATTGGAATCAGTTTCAACAAATTGCAACACTATAGCTGAATCGGCATACAATTGTGTTCTGCTCAAGAATATTGTTTAAATATTGGTGTTACAAACGGAAAACGATCTTCATATTACGGTGAAGGTTATCAATACAAAGTTTCCAAAATACAAAATGTATGTATACCTTACACTGTCATACTTGGTGTTCTGATTATGTGATTTAAAAATAATTTGAATTTGTGTAAAAAATACTATAATTAAAATAGTAAAAATATTTTTTAAGCTTCAGAAGTTGCCAGCAAATATTGCATATTTTGTTTGATTCCTGATCTGCAATTTCCCATAAAATCTATATCCTTATTCGCATTTTTCGCTTATCCCTATTTTTTTTTTTTTTGAATATTGCATTAAAAATGGAAACAATAATATTTCATTGTTTCCAGTGTAAACCAGTTTTTCAGTTACTATATTTGAAAGCCTTTAGTGGGAATTCAATAAATTGAAATATGCCCGAAGCGAAGGGTATGCTTGAGGACAACAATATAAAATTACAATATCCGCAGGCTAGCATATTGCCTGTCCAGTCCGACATTTGTTTTTTCCTTACTGGCTTAACATTCCGTGTCCGTGTACATCCATGTTCATCAATTACACAACACTCCACATAATTCGCATAGCTGCATCGAACATGCCTACAGCATCAGACGAGCCTTCGAAGAAATCAATCTTCCCAATCACTAACAGTTTTGGTAACGACATCTGTGTCAGTGGTCAGATCAGGAGAATTCAAA